AAACGCTGAAGCCTGGGCAGATGGCTGTCCAAACGCTGAAGCCTGCGTAGATGGCTGTCCAAACGCTGTAGCCTGGGCGGACTGCTGCGGAAACGCTGAAGCCTGCGCAGATGGCTGTCCAAACGCTGAAGCCTGGGCAGACTGCTGTGGAAACGCTGAAGTCTGCGCAGATGGCTGTCCAAAGGCCGGGGCTTGTCCAAACATATTGCTTCCTTGAGGGGGCGGCTGACCGAAAAATCCCACACTCTGCGGGGCCTGTGTGCTGGAGCTCTGCTGCCCAAATGATGAGAACAAGCTGGGCTTCACGCTGCTGCTCGGGACTTGGAAAGCTCCTCCATGGGCACTACCGAACGGATTGGGTGTATTCATGGCTCAAATAACGTTTTATGTTAACGTTTTTAAGCATTCGAATAGCAACAAGCAGTAAGGCAGTTCCGGCCTGAGGAGAATATAAGCTTAAAAGCTGATAAAAAAAAAAAAGAGACGAAAACAGACTCGTAGCTACACTGCTAGCATAGGCTAACACCATGAAAGTATTACTTAGTAAAGTTTGTTTGGCTGCTCATAAAGTTCCCCAGTTAACAGAATTATAGGAATACCCGAAGAAGTGCGTCAAAAAAGATCCCACCTTTTACTGTTTTGTGTTGCTTTTTTGGCTCACGTTTTTCTAAATCCGGTTCCGGTCCGACAAACTTATCAGTCCTCCTTCTGCTAGTAATGCTAAACCATTCGTTCCGCTATGGCCAATGAGGCGGTTGTTAACAGATAAGCAACCATATCTCTTAAAAGAAAGAATATATTTTATGAATGTAAATTAGGTTATCAGAGCTGTATAAACCAGAAAAGAACTACACTATCTACTTCCCGGGGACTGCATTCGTGTCACTTAGGAGACTACAGTTTGCTTGTGGCTAACGGCGAAGCTCACCAACCGACAATAACGTGCCGCCAGGTAGGAGATAGGTTAGTGGGTAACCTTCACCTATGTACCGAGATCTTTCCGTAGCTGTGTTCTCTTCTCGTGTCGGCTGTTTAAAATGGGAGTAGTTTTGAGGAACCTCCAGAAGGTGGTGCCTCTTCGGCGCGCCAGGCTGCGCAGGGACGTGGTCACGCTGAGACACATACTGGGCATCCAGAAGTTCGACCTGGGTATCATCTGCGTGGACAACCAGAAGATGCAGCAGATCAATCACATCTACAGGAAGAAGAACACACCCACGGATGTCCTGTCTTTCCCATTCTACGAGGTAAACATGGCAGCTAAACGTTTTGAATGAACACACTTCTGTTAGTGGAGATCTGGTGGTGGTAGGGGTGTGTTCTGGACGTCTTCTTCTGTTTTTGATTTATTACACTGCTTTGTGTGCAATAAAAGATTCATAAAGTTTCAAAGGCCAAATGGAGCTTCAGAAAAAGCCTCCTTTGTCGTCCAGCTGCTTCTTCTGTGACTCATCAACGTCACCATCTAACAGCATGGGCAAGCAGAGCCTTTGAATGGATTTATCAAGAGCTGTAGGGCAAACTACAGTCAGAGGGTCACAGGCAGCTGTGAACCATCTTAATCTGGCCCTCCACATCCTGAAAGGGAAATAAAACAACCCCAATTAGAAAGCTGAAGGCTGATTTGATTTCATTGTAACTGTCAGCCATGTGTCAGTATCAGTTTTCCACTGTGTAAAGCTTGGCCGAAAAAAATGGCATTGGTACAGTAAAATTATGCCTTTGGTGTGAATGGCTACATTAGGCATAGATGAGTCTGAAGAGTATTTTTTAAGCTCAAAATATTTCTACAGATCTTACACGTATGCTGTGTAAAAGGCTTTCAGTCAAAACTGTTGCCCAATGCTTGCATCATGGCTAATAGTGTCCTTTTCTAATCATCCATATTATCTTCTATGGAAAGCGGCATGAGGTGAATAAGAGTTTTGAAAGAGAGATAGTGTATGCACATTATTTTACTGTTTGGGCATCTATTTGTATTTAGCAGCTCCTTTAATATTAATGTTATTTAATATTCACTCAGGGACGGAAAGTGGTGGCTTTCCATCTATTTTAAACCAAAACTCTGAACCTTACTGGTCTGCACCAGGTTACCTGTTTGGCATATATTACCATGGTGATATAGCCAGGTAAAAAATAAAATAAAATAAATGAGAGCAACCTTCATGGCACTAAAAACTTTGACTCTAGGCTCAGCATAGTAGTACATCTCTCTGATCACTTCACTCAGTTTGGAAAGCTTCCTTAAAGGGCCTCTTTTTATTTACCCTCTACAGAATTTAACTAACACTTTCACCACTAGGGTGCAGCGTTACTCAAGACTTAACTAGTTAAAATTGAGGTTAAGTTGACCTACTGTGCTATCTTGTGGGAAAGACATGAACACAATCTGCAGGGTTGGGGTAACTTCTCCACTCAAATATCTATGTGTTTTGTGGGGGTTTATTTAAGGACCTGAGGCCCGGGAAGTTGCCCTGCCCCCTTCACAGAGACGAGCTGAACCTTGGAGATATCTTCCTTGGGGTGGAGTTTGTGATGAAGCAGTGTCAGGAGGAATCCCTGGATCTGCACGGAGCGCTGACTGTATGAAACAGTAACTTAAGTTATCCTGTCTCTCATGCATGTAATCCGTCAATGCTTCCAAATGAGGCACAGCAGTACCATTTTCTGTGATTAACTGTTTCATTGTTCCTGTTTCAGGTTGTCACTGCGCACGGGATCTGCCACCTGCTGGGCTACAGGCACGAGACAGAGGAAGAATGGACTGAGGTTTGTAAGGAGACAGTGGCTTTGTGTCCATATTCATTCCTCCACTCAGACTATAGCTCAAATGGAAATACACTTCGTGCTCAAGTCACAAGATCACGACCCATTAGAAGTCCTTAGAAGATGCCTCCATCATCACATCTACAAAGACTCAGTTTTTTCCTTTAATCTGTCATCCATAGGTAGATCTATATGAGCTGAGGCTTTTTTCTTTTTTTTATACCAAATTTATGAACTTCAAACTGTGTGATGTCTGGCTGTTCGATGTTGATTAAAGGTGTAACATGTTTGCAGATGCAGCAGAGAGAAAACTACATCCTGAGCGAGTACAGCAGACTCACAGGCCGACACCTAGACCCCCTGATGAAGAGGTGCAGTCAGGACAGGTGACCCTGACTGCTGCCTGCAGGCCTGAGATTAAATATTGCACTATGTGATGGTGGAAACTGCTTCTATACTGTTGTGGTTCTTATATTTATTTGAAGATACCCACTACAGTCTGTATTATAAAATGACTTGTCACTAAACAGTCTGACCTCCTGAAAAAACACTTGATGTGAGCTCTGCTGAAGAGTTTCAAACACCAAAAAACGTCTCAGTTCTTTCATTGGAATATTTTATTAAAATCTGCTTTAGGAAGAGTCGGTTGTGTATGAAGGGTAGAAAAAGCTGTTCATTCTCACTTCACTAATACATGTTATGCTCTTTACACTGCGTGTAGGACAGCATGTTCAGGAGAGGCATTTAAGAAACGTCAATCAATGCAGACATTAAAACACCTGGAGAATTAACACAGCGTGGTGCAACAGGAAGTCGGCTAATCAGTGCACACTTCCTAAAATCCCCAAATATAAAGACAGAAGTTGTGTCAAATTTGGTCTGCAGTGATTTAATTTTTAGAAATTAATGCCATGTTGTGCTAATTTGAGGGAATAATCTGCTGTACAGATTAAGTCTATAATAGCATGTGTACGAGTGAGCTTTTTTTTTTTTTTTTTTCCTTTCACAGAATAAAAGTTACACAGCCGGTGCCCAGTAATAAACAGAATATTCCACATATTTCATGCCTGACAGGAACTGGTTCATAAAGTGCCCCTTTTATGCTTTTTAAAAATAAAAAATAAAATAAAATCTCCCTACAGTTATAGACCAGAAGACAAACAGAAGTGAAAATATCCAGCATCTCCAACACTCACTACTGTTTATTTATTCCATCATTGAATAAATACTTGTAGGGTGAAACTGCTTTAAAACAAAAACACAGAGCTGCTAAAAGGCATTGTTTGTAGTCCATAACGAATCTACATCACGATGTACTGCCCTAGTAGCAGTTAGTTTGGCACATTTTGAAATAAAGAATCAACAGGTGATTCCGACTGTATTTACAGGTAAAAACGTCTTCCAAACATGGCTACAGCTTTAACAGTCAGTCTGAGAATATTAATGTTATCAACTGACCAATCAGAGCAGAAGACAGGTGCCTTGAAGGGACAGGCACTAAAACGGAGCAGATAACGGGTTCCTTCCCTGAACAATAAGGCGTTTAATCCCACAGTTACACTTTAACCATGTAAATGAGCATAACAGGGGCACTTTAAATGCTTAACACTTGTTCTAAAGGTGTTGAAATAAAAGATATTATGCAACAGGTACTGTATCTTCTCTGGTTATAAAGTAGTAATGACTTCCATTTGCCTTGGCTCATATTTTGGGCTAATTAAGAGAAACCAACCCCCTTCTATATGCAATAAATATAAAAATCTGTTGGCTTTATAGAAGAAACTCTGACTTGCACACTGTTTCAGATTTGACAAACATTCAAAAACAACAAGGTTGTGCGACTTTCCAAAGTAAAGCTTGTATACACATATTTATAAAACTTTTCTTGGGAGGCACAAGGTCAAAACCCCAAACAAACAACAAAGTGTGATCAACTGAGAAAAGCTCAGTTAAATATTAATGAATGCACGTTCTTTCACACCTCTAAAATATGGAAATAATCACACACAAAAAAAATATCAGGTTGCACATGAAGTACAAAAAGCAACTGGGAAGACATCCACACTGTGGGACAGAAAGCTGTTTTGAATGGACCAGTTTGTGCCAGTAACAAATATTGCACCAAATGTACCCGCTAAATACAACAACCCTCTAAATTCTATAATAGCTTATACTCCAACATAGAATATATCTTTATTTTGCTTATATGGGAAATAAAGGGGTCTGCAAACATACAATCTACGAAGCACCAGGAGCGCCCAGTGTTTGATAGTTTGAAGTAAAAGTCTGAAGAAAAGTCTTTAAGAAAGAAACAACAAAATTAAACCTTACAAAACAGTTGATAAAATTATAGCAAAGAAAGACTCCAGCCCCAAAAACACGGAGGCAAAAATTGATCCACGGAACATTTTAACTGCATTTCTGGTATCTGAAAGAGTCTTGACAGGTCAGCCCCTGTGTCGGCATCATCAGGTGTTATTTTTATCCTGGCCTTTAGTGATCTGTAGAGGAAAAAGGAAATGCCTGAAGGCTACCTAAAAGGGACGGCAATCAGTAGTATAGGAGGATTCACAGGGCAGCTTTATCTAACAGGATCAGCTGTGGTTGAGTGTGGGTGGGCGTCCAAAGACGTTGCGCTCAGAGGGGCTGCAGGACATTCCTTCCTGCCTCTGAGGTGCTTCCGGCTCCAGATCTCTCCATCTCAGATAGCTGCTCGAACACATCCCTGAGAGATCACAAAGTAGCAGCGTGTTATTAGCAGGGCATCTCACATCATTACAGTGACATCTATAACCAGCTGACAGGAGGACTTGCACACTCACTTGTGCATGTAGAAGAAGATGTATCCGCTACGGTCACGGTCTCGCTGGACAGCTGCTTCCTGCGTGCGAGACACGTCCAGGTCATTGTAGGTCAGCCACGAATGTTTCTTCATGTCGTACACGTCACTGATGTAATGGCCTACAGGGAAGATAAAGACGGGGAGCAATCTATCAATATTTGTTCACAGAGCAAGCATTTGGTTCTTGAAGTCTATAGTCACGACAGCGACAGACAAAGAGGTCACACCTACGCCATCCACGTATAGACAAGGATGATGTCACCGGCATTTATCCAAAGTTATTGGACAAATATAACCTCTGCCTGACACATGAGCTAACTTTATGGTTCTAGCTTTAGTATACAGTCAGGTAAATAAGTGTTTGGACAATGATACTTTTTTTTTTTGTAAATTCCACTGTGTTGGTGGCCTGAAAGATTAAAAAACAAAAAACATTTTTATAGCCACATTATCAGCGGCTCCTCCTAAAACCTACAACCATTAAGTTAGCTAATGTCTTAGATTTCAATTCTGTTTTACCTGGTCAGCCAATATTCATCATCTAATATCAGATCAGGACAGGCTAGATCATGTTTTTGCTGAAAGGTGCTGACCATTATTTGAGGCTCTCACAAAATTTACTGCTGAAGACAAAACTAAAGGCAAGAGACCCACAAACCCACACCGAGTAAAGACCACACAGTTTCATCCAGCAATGTTTTCCCTGATAATTTAAGGATTCTTAATATAAATAAACTTTATTTCTGGCTGCCAATTTCTTCATTGACATTTGAGATAATAAGGGATATAAATAAAGCAGCGTAAACATCAAAGCAGTTCCTTAAAGTGTTCATACACAGTTTTGACTTAAAGCTCATCTTCATTGTTCCTGAATAATTTGTCACTGTCAAAACACATGAGGACCTAAACTCGGAGGCACAAACAAACACAAGTGCTCACCAGAGGAGGAGCTGCTCCCGATGTGACTGACCACACTGATGAGTCTGAACGAGTTGGCCAACTCCCCACTCTGTGGATTACAGGATACATAGGCAGGTTAATGCAGGCCAACAACCAATAAGTTATCATCAGTCTTCTGCTTTATTTAATTTATTCTGCAGTTTCTTAATCAGTGCGTGTATTTCACTATGTTCTGATTCATAATCAACTCAGTGTCCTGCAGATTATCTAAGACTTTATCTGTGGTGTGAATTATTTAAACTGACCCTTTATTAAGGTTTACATTTGTAAAACACTGTTTTTATTTTTGCATAGCGATTATACATCCGTTGTATTTAAGGTGAATAAACTATTTGCCGTTTTTTGTGCTCTGCAGTATTTTACACTGTGTGCCAGCTGGATATACCTCCGCGTTTCTCTTCAGGTTCTCGGCTTCTGCTTCAGTGTACTCCATGTCCAGCACGTCCTCGTTACCAGAGTCATCATCCGAGCAGAGCAGATCGGGCAGGGAGTTGTTAAACTCTGTTGAATGAGGAGGAGATGATGACGCCGGTGCAGTATTTTCACATTGCTCAGAGTCTGATTAAAGAACACTTTAAACATTTGTTTGTGCTGACTAAACAGATCTGCAAATATCCAGTCAAATTTCTTTGTTTAGTGGCTGCGTTCAGTCTTATTTACATCGCCACACTGCTGCCAGCTGAGCGGGATCAACAGCAACCATCACAATACAAAAAAAATCAGCTGAACACAGTTGGTCAAAGAAGTGTGTGCTGATGATTCCTGGGAGTAAATTGTATTTCTTACCTTGCAAGCTGAGCTCAGTGGCTCTCTTCAAATCATCGTCCTCTCTCATCTCCTGAGCTTCCTGTAGAGATGTCATAGGCTTTATTTTCCTGCATCAGGTCTGTTAGTGTGTGAAAGACTTCAGAGTAGTCAATGATATTTAAGGATAATGAGAGATCTACTGTAATCTAACAGCAAATGGAAGGTCACCATTACTGGAAGCTAGAAAAAAAATTGTTGTGAGCATCTAACACTGGTAGAACTGGTGCACCAAACTCAGGTGTTACATTGGATCATACAAAGGTCCATTTGGGTCAGAGGGATGTAAATGTAGCATCCCTTCTGATGGGCTCCAACCATTCTCTCTTCAGCAGCTGAAAGTAAGCACTTTTTCCATTTAGGTGCACCAAAGTGTCTCCACTGTGTTGAAATATGAAAACAATTGAGCTGCAGATGTGTTAAATGCTACACAGTCTCTCTCTGGTCTTACATGCTCCTGGAGGCTCTGTGCCAAAGCCTGCTGCAGCTCCTGTTCTTCTCTCTCCTGATCCAGATTGTACTGTTGGACCCAGTCCAGCTCCCCCTGCTGCTGACCACTCTCTGGAGTTTGGTTCTCCTTGTTTTCATCCATGGTCAGGTCCAAGGAGTCCAGCACATCTACAAGAGTTCAGCAAATACTCGAGTCAGCAAACCTGATATGTGAAGTTGGGTTTTTTTGTTGGATTTGTTGGTAACCCAGGGTTTATGTGAATGTAGAAACCCACAATCAATTTAAGCAGCATGTACTTTCAAGAGAATATGGAACGAAACATGAATGAGCCTTTCTTAGAAATGTCACATATAATAAAAACCTGATGCAGATCCCGTATTAAAAAAACAACAACAAAAAAAAAAGTCTATTGCAAGTTTAAGTACTCCAAGAAGTGAGTCTGATCACTTGGCAGCCTTCCCGAAATACCTCTGGCCATTTATATGCAGCATGATCTTAATTAATTTTAACTTTAGTGGTCAGCAGAACAAAACAAACAAAAATAAATAAATAAATAAATACACACATCTGCATTTAAGTCCCAAAACTCCAATCCAACCACTTAAAATTTGCAAATGTTTTCCTAAAATAAAAACTTTGTTTCCCCTGAAAGCTGTACATCTACCATCATCTTTGCTGTTAAGAAATCTTGCAATAGATTTGAAACTCATACTGTCTCTGCTTAAATATCCCGTTAGAGTACCTGTGGGCTGTTTGCTATCTGCTTCTAGCAGATCTGCGTGATAGGCCAAGTCATGTGCATCTGTGTCCCCAAACCCGGTGTCCGGGCTGCTTGTCGGCTCATCATCCAGAGAAGGAGGTGCAGAGAGCGCGGCCTCTTGGCGACTAATCTCCAGCACAGCCGCCAGCATTTCATCATCATTGATGCCACTGAAGTCTGTTGAATCG